AGGTAATACTGATTTCATAAAATGAGTCAGGAGGTATTATTCTCTCTTTATTTTTTTTTGATGTGTTTGAAAAGAATCAGTGTTAATTCTTTATATGTTTAGTAGAATTTAACAGTGAAGACATCTAGGATTCACTTTATTAGGAGGGTAGGGCACACAGCCAATCAGGGTTCTATCCCCAGCACCCCATATGGTCCCCCAAACTTGCCAAGAGTGACCTCTGAGCACAGAGCCAGGAGTAAGCTTTGAGCACCATGCGATGTGGTCCCAAAACAAAAACGCGCGCGCGTGTGTGTGTGTGTGTGTGTGTGTGTGTGTGTTCATAGGGAGTGCACCAATGGTGTGGTGCTGAGAAAGGCTCAATTCTGGAGATATCTAGACTGCTGTGCTGATTGTAGTATAGTGCTTGGACAACAGTATGGGCAGAATGCTAGGAGTAAGTAAGGAGCTTGGTGGTACAGAGCATTAAAATCAGGACTACAAACATAACTGGCATGTATGCTCTACCATTTTTGCTATTTTTCCAGCCAATAGTGATATGCTTTTTTGTTTTGTTCTGTTTTGATTTGATTTTTGGGCCACACCTGGCAGTGCTTGGGTTACTCCTGACTCTGCATTCAGGAATCATTCCTGACAGGTGGGATGCTTGGGTGTTGGCCGCATGCAAGGCAAGTGCCTTAACCACTATACTATTGCTGTGAGCTCATTGTTGTGTTTTAAAAATAATTTCCCCAATATTTTTAGATATTTTAAACCTAGAGAAGTTGTCTTGCTGTTTTATCAGAGTGATCCTGTGGGATACAGTGGTAGCCTCATGTGCAGTTGGGGGAGGCTTTCTCTTTCGTTGTTTTGTTTTGAGGTACATGCAGTGGTGTTCAGGAGTTACTCCTGGCTCTGCTCAAGGATAACTCCTTGCAGGGCTTGGGGAACCATAAGGGATGCCAGGGATCGAACCAGGGTCAGCTGCATGCAAGACAAATACCCCACCTGCTATATTACTGCTCTGGCCTCTCCTTTCTGTTTGTCTGCCTACAGAATATGGCTTTTGAAGGCTGGAGAGATGTATAGCTGGGCGCTTGCCTCGTACGTGACTGACTGGCTTTGATCCCTGGCATCCCCAAATAAAACAAAAATGTACTTCCAAGGGGTTGCTAAGTGATTTTTTTTCTTTTTGGGTCACACCTGGGAATGCACAGGGGTTACTCCTAGCTCATGCACTCAGGAATTACTCCTGGCGGTAGTCCGGGGACCATATGGGATGCTGGGACTCAAATCTGGGTAGGCAGCATGTAGGAAAGTACCCTACCCGCTGTGCTATATTACTGAAGCCCTGATTTTTTTTTTAAGGAATTGTTGTTTTGTTTTTCTTTCTTTTTTTTTTAATAGTGCCAGGGATTGAATCCAAGGTCTCATACATGTAAAGTATGTACTGTATTACTGAGCTACAAGTAAATAACCCTAATAAATTAAAGATTTTAAGTTTTTGGTTGTTTCGGTTGTATCTTTTCTTTATACTTTTGGCTTCATCTTCTATGGCTTTGTTTTAAATATACTGCCCTATCTTATTTTTTTATTTATTTATTTTATTTATTTATTGAATCACAGTGGGAAAATTTATAAAGCTTTTAAGTTTAAGTCTCGGTCATGCAATGATCAAACACTTTACCCTTCACCAGTACTTATTTTTCACCACCAAGAACCCCAATATACCCCCCTCCCCTCCCAATGCCTGTGAGGCAGATGAATTCTACTTAACTTTCTGTCTACTTTGATAACATTCATTATTTTGACAAAAGATGCACCATTATTGTTTAGAGTTTCCACCCAACAATCAGAACTGCTGTAAAGGCATTGTGAAATAATTTGTTTTCTATCGTTCATTATGAGAACCAAATTATGTCGCACAGCTGCGATAGCAGCCACACGATTTTGGATTTCTGATATTTTACTTATTAAGTTTGGAGGGATTTCTGCCAAGAGCTAGATAATTACAAGATTGGTTTCTGTGGCTCTGGAGCCATGACCTTGCCGGAGAGCCACTTGTGGGGGGCAACTCATGACCTCGGTAGAGCATGAAGGACAAGCCGGGAATATACTTCCCTATCTTATAATTATTTGATACTTTTTTAAAACTCTTTGAGTTATTTCCTGATAGCTCCCATTGCTAATTGTTTCATTATGTATTTTATAATTTTATACATAGTGTTGGGCTTAAATTACACAGTTTCATAAGGCCTCCTGATGTACATTTCATCTGTCTTGAGTGATAGCCACATGTGTTTCAAGAAATCAAAGGAAACTCTCCCTGTTCTCCACAAACTAGAATATAAGCTCCCTGAAATCGAGATCTTTTGTTGATTAGTGTCTTCTAACTTGTCTATAATAGTGCTTGATATCTACTAGGTATCCTTTCTGTCTTTAATAGTATCTATCTTTGCTAGCTGGTGGATTTGTTTTTTAATTTTCCTTGTAGTTTAGGTAACACAGTTACAGTAGTGTTACACTTACAGGTTTTTATTGTACAAAGTCACTGCACATCATCACCACCAAATGTGCCTAAGATTTTCTACTAGTCCTTTTTTTTTCCATTGAGGAAGAGGAGAGAAGGACTATTATAGGTGTTTCTTATTAATAATGATGACTGGGTGGGTTTTTTTAACATTTTGCTTGTTTGCTCCAATGATATGACTTTGACTCATGTTATGCATAAAGATGATTCTGTTCATATTATGATGAATGAGTGGTTGCCACCTTTCTGGATCTATTTTTGTTTCAGAGGCCTCACTTTTGTTGAGTTTCATATTTTTCTTTTCTTTTGTCTTCATTTCTTTTCTCTTCATATCCTTCCCTCCTTCCATCCATCCCTTCTTTTCTCCCTGTTTCCCTCCCTCACTTCCTTCCTTCCTCCCTTTTTTTTTCCACTTTTTGGGAGGCAAAAACAGTGCTCACTGTTTACTCTTGCCTCTTTGCTCAGGGATCATTCCTGGAGGTGGAGAATTGAAATGGGGTCAGTCATGTGCCAGGCAAGCACCTTACCCCTGTATTATCTCTTCAGATCAAGTTTCATACTCTGAGCCATCTTCAACTTGTTTTTTCTTGGTGATGCCAGGGATTGAATCCAGGGCTTCTCATATTGAAGGCAAGTGCTCAGCCACTGAACTTCAACCCTGGCCATTTTCAGTGTATTTTAACTTATCCTCATATTTCTATTTTGGAGGATGAGAAGGCATATTGTATATATATATGTTTTAAAAATGAATATTATTTAGGGGCCAGAGAGATAGTAGAGGGGTTAAGTAGCTCTTGACTGTATATGGCTGACCCTGAATCTGTCTTTGGCACTGCTTATGGTCCCCTGAGCATTTGCTGGGAGTGACCCTTGAGAACAGTCAGTGGCAAGCCTGAGAACCACTAGGTGTGACCTAAAAAATAAAGCAAAGAAAATTTTGATTAAGTATTACAGGTTACAGACTAAAGCAACATTTTCAGGATTGGAGAGAAGTTTAATGAGCTAATTATATCACATGTGGAAGGCCAGATTCCATTCTTGGCACTGCATAGTCCCTGAACACTGCAGGGAGTAACTCTTTAGCACAGAGCTAGGAGTATTCCTTGAGCCCCTGAATGTGGCTTCCAAAACAGACAAAAAATCAAATTATTTAAATAATAGTTTGGCTGATAGTGAGAATGACGTCTCACAAATAATAGTAAGAACTTAGGTAATTATAAAACATAAGGAATTATAGATGAAAAGTAGAAAAATCACAAAGAGAAATTTTTTTCTAACCTAAAGATGTGAAAAAGGGGGTGGGGGTGGGATAGGGAACCTAAAAACACTTCTGGAGGGAAGTTGACACTGGTGGCAGGGTGTTGGAACATTGTATGTTAAAAACTCATCTACGAGTAACTTTGTAACTCATGGTATTTTCATAAAATAAAATTTGGGAAATTAAGACATGGAAAAAGATTTTAAAAATTAAGAAAACATATGGTACATTTTTATGATTAGTATGCCTACTGTGGGGAAAAACTTTCCCATATCAAGGGTGGGTACAACTTAATAGTTTTTTTTTTCATTTGTTCATAATTAACTTTTATTGTTCATCATTAAGTCATTGGGCAGAGTCTGGCAAACTCCCCGTGGCATACCAAATATGCCAAATACCAGTAACAATGATGGGTCTCATTCTCCTAAAGAGCTTTGAATATAATCTCAGGGCTAGGATGAAAGAGACGTTACTGGGGCCTGCTCAAGACAATCGACGAATAACATTAAGTCATTAGGGTATACACCCAATGGTGCTTGAGGCCATTCCTAGCAAGGTGCTCAGGAGTTGACCTGGTGGTGCCAAGGCAATTATGTGGTGCCAAGTATAGAACCCAGGATCCCACATGCATAATATATTTGCCAACTCTGAGCCACCTCTCTAACTTCATCTTTTTTTTTTTTTTAACTTCTTGAGAGTCACACCCGGCATTGCTCAGGGGCTACTCCTGGTTCTGCACTCAGAAATTACTCCTGGCAGTGCTGGAGGCACCCTATGGGATTCTGGGGATTGAACTCAGGTCAGCTGTGTGCAAGACAAATGCCCTATCCGCTGTACTATCGTTTTGGCCCCCATTAAATCATTTTTAATGAAACGTATCTATATATTTTGGGAAGTGTTGGGATCATACCCAAGGTCTTATACATGGAGATAATTGTTCTGTCACTGAGTCACATCCCTGACCCGTTATGAAATTTGGAAGCTATTTAGCAGTTCTGGGGGTTACATTAAAAACAAATGAAAAAAAAAAACAACAGTAAAGAAGAGGCCAGAGTGATAGTACAGCAGTATGGTATAAATTTATGTCATACTGATATAAAAAACTAGGAACTGACCTACCACTTGTGATTGAAGTTCTTAGTTCTAATTGTCAAAGATCTTTAAAAAAAGGGTTGATAATTGTGGGGGTCATGTGATAATAATGACTAATATTGCTGCTTCTTTGTTTTGCAGTTCCAATTCCTAGCAGATATGATCGGCGAGTGTCAGGTATGTGTCTCTTTCATAATACACTGCTGAAGTACTATTTTAAGTTAAGGTTGTCTTAAATAAAAGTTGATTTTTCACATTGAAAAGTAACTTTATATTATATAATATTATAAAAATTAACTGTGATTCTTCTGTGATTATCTGATTCTTCATTATGCTTCAAGTTTTGAGTATGTATATGAAAATATGTACATATTTTCATTTTTAATATGCCATATTTATTTATTGGGGGGTTCACCATTCTAGTGGTGCCCAGTAGCTATTCCTATCTCTGCTCAGAAGTGATCCTTAGGAGTACTCTGGGATACCATATGCATACTGTCACTGTCACTGTCCTCTTGTTGTTCATCAATTTACTCAAGTGGGCCCAGTAACATTGTGAGACTTATTGTTACTGTGTTTGGCATATCGAATATGTCACGGGTAGCTTGCCAGACTTTGCCGAGCGGGCGAGATAGAGATACTCTTGGTGACTAGGGACATGATACGTACATATTTTTATGTAAGTATTTTTAATTACATAAAATTCGGGCTGGAGCCATAGCACAGCGAGTAAGGCCTTGCACGCGGCCGAAATGGCCAACCTTGCCGACCCAGGTTTGATTCCTCCGCCCCTCTTGGAGAGCCCGGCAAGCTACCGAGAGTATCTTGCCCACGTGGCAAAGCCTGGCAAGCTCCCCATGACATATTCAATATGCCAAAACAAAAACAGTAACAACAAGTCTCACAATTTTTTGTGAGATGTTACTGGTACCTGCTTGAGCAAATCGATGAACAACAGGAGGACAGTGCTACATAAAATTAATTACATAGCTGTAATTTGTTTAATATCATTGAATTTTTTCATTCTTATTGTTCTATAGCTTCTAAAAACTCCTTTTCATTTCCCTATTTCTGATGCTCCAGATAATATGGACATTAATTTTTTGTATATATTTTGGGATCTTTAAAATAATTTTCTCAGTTAAAGTGTTAGGAGCAGTATTCTCATGTTGAGGACTAAACACAGCCTTTTTTTTTTTCCTGTTACTTTTAGAGATATAATCTATAGAATAGGCTCAGGGGAAAAAGATACTTTTTTCCACCATCATCTTACTATTGTGAATATGCTTATTCCTTTAATTTTTTTTTTGGTTTCCATAATTTTTATTTTCACGCAAATACAAAAAATAAAAAACCCTTATATTTTACCACCATAAGAATCTAAAACATATTAATGTGTTTAGGTGCCTAATGCATTTGAAGTGTCAGCATACTTGTAAATAATTTTCTTTATTTTTCCTTTAAGTAGGGATCTCTCTATATATCTATCTATGTATGTGTATAAATATATCCCATGGTTAATCATTATAGAGGAATACAAAATGTGTAAATTTTTTTTATCATTTTTTTATTAGTGAAACACCATGAGGTACAGTTATAGACTTAGAAATTTTTGTGCTTGGGTTTCAGTTATACAATGATCAAGTACCCATCCCTTCACCAGTGCCCATTCTCCCCCACCACGGGTCCTAGCATCCCTCCCACCCCCCATTCCCCCCGTCCCACCCTGCCGCTGTGGGCAGGGCATTCCCCCTTGTTCTCTCTCTCTTCTTTTGGGTACTGTGTTTTGCAAGAGAGGCATTGAGTGGCAATCATGTTTGGTCTATAGACTACTTTTAGCATGTCTCTCCCACCCTGGGAGGGTCTTCACAACACCCTTTATCTTCAAAGATGTCACGCCACTGGCCGAGCAAGTGAAAACAGAGATAGACAAATGGGACTATCTTAAACTAAGAAGCTTCTGCACCTCAAAAGAAACAGTGACCAAAATACAAAGACAGCATACAGAATGGAAAAGAATATTCACCAAATACACATCCGACAAGGGGTTGATATCAAGGATATACAAGGTACTGGTTAAACTACACAAGAAGAAATCACCCAACCCCATTAAAAAATGGGGCGAGGAAATGAACAGAAACTTTCGCAAAGAAGAAATCCGAATGGTAAAAAGGCACATGAGAAAATGCTCTACATCACTAATCATCAGAGAGATGCAGATCAAAACAACAATGAGATATCATTTCACACCACAGAGACTGGCCCACATCCACAAGAACAAAAGCAACAGGTGCTGGCGCAGATGTGGTGAGAAAGGGACCCTCCTTCACTGCTGGTGGGAATGCCGGCTGGTCCAACCCTTTTGGAAAACAGTATGGACGATTCTCAAAAAATTAGAATTTGATCTCCCATTTGACCCAGCTATAGCACTCCTGGGAATATATCCCAGAGAGGCAAAAAGGTATAGTCGAAGTGACATCTGCAATTGTTTGTTCTTTGCAGCACTCTTTACAATAGCCAGAATCTGGAAAAAACCTGAGTGCCCAAGAACAGATGACTGGTTAAAGAAACTTTGGTACATTTACACAATGGAGTACTATGTAGCTGTTAGAAAAGATGAAGTCATGAAATTTACATACAAGTGGTACTACATGGAAAGTATCATGTTAAGCGAAATGAGTCAGAAAGAGCGGGATAGACACAGAAAGATTCATCTGGGGAACATTCCTTTAATTTAGAATGTCAAGTTGCACCTCAGCTTTAGATGGCATTTCTTTGATTATTAACAAAAATAAAATGTGCAAATGAAGGAAATGTATTTTTGTGTGAAATTGGTTTAATAATATTTTTCCACTTATCTATTATGGTTTACTTTTTAAATTTGTTTTTGGGCCACATCAAACAGTGCTCAGGGCTTGCTCCTGGCTGAGCTCAGGGATCATTCCTGGCAGGTTCGGGATTATATGGGGCACTGGGGATAGAATCCAGGTCAGACACATACAAAGCAAACGTCCTACCTGCTGTATCATTTCTCCAGCTCCTGACCTACTTTTTTTTTTTTAATACATTTGAGTTGATTCCATCATGGTTTTGTTTAATGTTTGAGTCCACACCCAGATGTGCCAGGAACTACTCCTTGTTTGCCACTCCTTGTCTGGCAGTGCTCTATACATTGGGATCACTCGTGACAAGTCTTAGGGGATCATATGGGATGCTTGGGGATCAAACCTGGATCAGCCGCATGCTGAGCAAGTACTCTACCCCACTATACTATCTCTATAGCCTTTGGCTCCAACTTTTCAAGTTTTTAATACAAAGTTTTCCAGGTTGGCTGAGCTACTTTTTTTTTTTCTTTGTGGGTCACACCCAGCAATGCACAGGGGTTACTCCTGGCTCTGCACTCAGGAATTACCCCTGGCTGTGCTCAGGGGACCATATGGGATACTGGGAATTGAACCCAGGTCAGCTGTGTGCAAGGCAAACGCCCTACCCGCTGTGCTATTGCTCCAGCCCCCTGAGCTACTTATTTTTATTTTACTACTTGTAATGGACTAAAATAAGTTAATGTGTGACCAGTACAATACAGCTTGGTACATAGCAGTACTTATTAAACATTGAGTATGTCACGAGGAGAAAGAGTACAGCAGGTAGGGCATTTGCCTTCCACATGACTGACCCGGGTTCAATCCCCAACACCTCATGAGTCCCCTGAGCCCAACTAGGAATCATCCCTGAGCACCACTGGGTGTTGTCCAAAAGGAAAAAAAAAGTTTTACCTTTTGGATACATCTAGAATTTATTTGGCTTTAGAGTTGGAATGTAAATGTTCCATAAAATTTATATTAGTTATATATGTCATATTCTTTTATATCTCCTTATTCTGGAAAGATTTCTTGATTTTAAATAATCCTATAACCTATTACTTGGTAAGGCTGTGGTTCCCCAGTCCTTTTCTTGAGAAAATCTGTTTATTTATGTTAGCATAAGACTCATTTCTGGGGGCCGGAGTGATAGTACAGTGGGGTATGGCATCCCATATGGTCCCTTGAGCACAGCCAGGAGTGATTCCTAAGTACAGAGCCAGGAGTAAACCCTGAGCATCGCTGGGTGTCACTCAAAAAGCCTGCCCCCCCCCCAAAAAAAAGGAAAATGGACTCATTTTTTTTCTGTTTATCCCTGTGCTGAATCCTTTCATCCCCACTAATTGGTATTACCCTTTAATGGAATAGGACTTCTGGAAGATGGAGCACATAATGACATATTTCAGAGGCAACAGGTGATGTTAGTTCATGAATTGTTTCTTGAACTGTCTGTGCAGTTCGTTCTTGAGCTCAGTATAGAATTCAGAGATATATAGTAGAACCCCCCCCGCCCTTAGCCTTTGCGATCTTATTTAAGATTTAAAATTTTTAATACTATTCACATGTTAAGTGAAAATTATTTAGGGGACAAGGAGATAGTTTAAAGGACTGGAGTACATGCCTTACACTCAAGAGGCCCCAAGGTTGATCCTTGCAAGGCACTGCATGGCCCCTGCAGCACTACCAGGTATGACTCTGGCAGCCCCAGCACTTTTGGGGCAAGTAGCATCACGTTGCCAAGACAGAGCATTGAACTCTCTGGTTGTCATTGTATCCTTAGGAGTGAACATTGCTTAGGAGTCCCCCTGCTGCTGCTCATTCCCCCACCCCTGCCAAAAAAATAAATTAAAAAAGCCAAAGAAGAGTGGCAGGAGAGATTGCAGGGGTTAAGGTGCTTGTACTGCATACAGCTAACCCCTGTTTAGGCCCTGGGACTTCATATGGTCCCCCAAGGGCCACCAAGAGTGATCCTGAACCATAGAGCCAGGAGTAAACTCTGAGTACTGCTGGGTGTGACCTGAAAATCAAAAGAAAAGTGGAAAGAAAATATTTTAAAGACTGCAAAATGATTGTTGAAGAGAGAAAGCAGCCTGTAGTAATAGCTGAGTTTTTTGAAATGAAGAATGACTCAGAGAGATAATACAGTGGTTAAGGCATTTTCCTTGCAGCAGCTAATGTGGGTTAAAACTCAGGTGACCACGCATGTTCCCCTGAGCACTGCCAAGAGTGATCCCTGATTATAGAGCTAGAAGTAAGCCCTGAGTATGGACCAAACTTCCCCTCCCAGGGCCTGGAGCCATAGTACAGCAGGTAGTG